TTAGAATCCCAATAGCCCTTGGCCTATTGTCACCACCTAAGGTCACTGTTCGAGACTCTTGGTAGTCCTGGCTGGCCAATGTCTCTCAGACTGGGCTGAAACTATCTATTACTATCTAATATTTTTTTTATTTTTCAAGTATCTAAGTTTAGTCATTTCAAAGTACGTGTCTGAGGCGCCTGCCTGAAGATGGAGGCTGTTTCTCTTGATGCCTCAGTCTTTGGCCCTCTAGCTCTCTGGGATAACTCCTACTCTTAATGACGACCTGGTGGGGAATTTCCAGGGTTCAGGACTTAAGTCTTTTTTCAGGGAGCTCCCATTCACTTCTACCAGGACTGTGGGTACACTGTGAGCTCTTTGCACTAACTTCACTTGTCTGAGCAGAGGCCAGAACCCCCTCAAATCTGAGTTAGATTCTATCAGATTCAGTGCATTGAGCTTTCTTGTATTGAGCTTTGAGCTTTTTTCTTGCATTGAGCTTTTTTGTGAATCTGGGCCCACGGTGCTCCCGAGGCCCACAGCTGCAGCCTGCCTGGGGCTCCACACAGCATACGCCCTCTGGCCGGGTCCCACACCAACTCCTGGGGCTGACAAGGAGCTCACTCCAGCTTGGCTCTGCATTTCCAGGACTTTCTTTTTTTTTTTTCTTTTTGGGTCACACCCGGCAACGCACAGGGGTCATTCCTGGCTCTGCACTCAGGAATCACTCCTGGCGGTGCTCAGGGGACCATATGGGATGCTGGAAATTAAACCCGGGTCAGCTGCATGCAAGGCAAATGCCCTACCTGCTCTGCTATTGCTCCAGTCCCTCCAGGATCTTCTTTCCCCTCTCACTCATTTTGTACTCTGGACCCCCGAGTGCTCACTCATGTAGACTCCAGCCCTTGACACCTCTCAACAAAGGATGGACAATACACTACAGTTTCCCTCATCCATCACTTGCTTATAATTATTTTTTTGGTTTTGGGGCCATACTGGCAGTGCTAAGGGCTGACTCCTGGCTCTGCACTCAGGCATCACTCCTGGCAGTGCTCAGAGGACTATGTGGGATGTCGGGGAGCGAAACCAGGTCGGCCGCGTGTAAGACAAACACCCTCTGCGTCAAATGCATTGAACTTCATTATCCCGCAGAGGCACAGCTCATGAGTATATGCCACCAGTGAAGACTGACGAGAGGAACGGGCAGAGCCAGGAACCACAGGGACACTTAGGGGTTTCAGCAGGGCAGAACCCGGTTTCCAGATTCTGTGTCCTGCAGCGAGAGCCATGAGCAACCAGGCGTCGGGCTCAGGCTTCCCCTGGACACAGCACAGCCAACAGGCAGACTCTGGGTTCCTGCCTTTAAGTGGTAGGTGGGTGGGTGGCACAGTTGTTAGCTTTGCCCCTTCCCACAAGGTTCTAGGCCCAGACTCCAGCAGCAGCATTTGGTCGCAGGGTTTCACAGGCCCAAATTTCATTCATTCTTTATCACTACTTTAAAGTCTTTTCTTTTAAAAAAAGACTGTGACTGGTAATGCTAGGAATGACACGTTCACGCTAACCCCTGCCTTCCTTTCCACTGCAGTTTCAGGAGACAGATTCCCCATCACAGTCGACATTCCTGACCTATCGGGAGACAAAGATAAAGTGACACATTCTTCCTGTGTGGAGGTCACCAGCCCTGGGCATGCTCAGAAACAGGCCAATATCGCGAGTGACAGGGTGCTCTGATGCAACACTCCCCAGACGAAAGGCTCACAGTCGAGCTGCGTCAGTGGTAGCAGGAGTGAGGCTGGAGAGGAAAAGCTGCAACTAGCACACTGTGTGCCGGTGATGGAGCAGCTCAGCACAGGGGAGCACGGCAGCACACGTGCGTTCCCAGGCACACAGGATCCAACAGCACATATGTGTTCCTGGCACACAGGAGCCACAGCACATGTGTTCCTGGCACACAGGAACCATGGCACATGTGTTCCTGGCACACAGGAGCCACAGCACATGTGTGTCCCTCTCTCATCAGAAAGCCAACCATCCACAGCCCCCGCTTGCTGGTCCACCTGCTGCTGTGCCCAGCCTTCAGGGGTGTCTGACAACCATGGCCACAAGGCCGGTCCCCCAGTATTTGTCGAGGGAATGAACTCCTCATACTGATTGGTCATTCCAGGCTGGAGACACTAGGCAGCCACACAGAACACACAGAGCAGGATACCATGGGTGGGGACAAATGTCTCTTACTCAGCACAGGGGAAAAGACTGACCCCTGCAACTCTGCCCTCCCTGGGCATCTCCCCTCCCCCAATAGTCCCATCACAGAGGATGCCAGCTGTTCTGTACCTCCTTGATAAGGACCACATGAGCCCACCCCCAGCATCTACCCACAGTGTGGCCAGGTGATAAGTACCAGGTGAGGGGACAGACAGGACACTGGGCACTTTCAGGCAGTGGCTGCCAATGGAGGATATAGGGGCGCTCCTTCCTGGCTTTCTCCTCTGCTGGCCAAAGACAGAGACCCTGTCACCCTGGACTGGTCACCTCCAAACCTCTGCCACATGAAGGAGGCAGATGATCGTCATTGCTGTCCTGGGTCCTTCTGAGACACATGACAGACACTGCACTCTGAGCATCTCCTACAGACAGCAGCAGCCACAGTCCATGGAGATCAGAGCTGACTCCTGGCTTTGTGCTCAGGGCCACTAGCATCTCCTACAGACAGCAGCAGCCACAGTCCATGGAGATCAGGGCTGACTCCTGGCTTTGTGCTCAGGGCCATAAAATGCCAGAGATGGCACCTGGGTGGGCCATATGCAAGGCAAATGTCCTACTTAACCCCTCAAAAGCTTCCTCTTAAGAAATGTGCATACCAAGTACAGATCACTACGTTCTCTTGGGATGTGACTGGGTCCTGGTTCCACCCTGGCACCACAGTCCCACAACCTTCCCAGAGCAGAAGTTCATGCCTGCTGTCAGACTTGCAAAGGAGAACTGGGCACTGTCTTACCTCAGAGCTGACCCAAAAAGCAAGTCTGAGAATCTGAGAGCCCTGACAATATGCACACTCCCTGTGGGGAGTTGATAGTGCAGCTTCTGGACCAGGGTGATTCTCCCTGCAGCCCGGCTGTCCCAGCAATCACTCCTAGTCAGCAAGGCTCCCTTGCTGAGGGGTCTTTTCCTCTTTAAACATCACTCTCACCTGGTTCCAAGACAGCAGCATCCATACATACCATCTGCCTCTGCAGAATCTGCAATACTGCCCAGACCACCGGCCTTTTCTGGAAGTTTCTGGTAATGTTGGGGAAACCTGATTCTTTAAGATGACAGAGGAGGGGCCAGATCGACAGTACAGCAAATAAGGTGCTAGGCCAATCCAGGTTGAATCCCTAGCACCTCATGTCCCCTAAGCACCGCCAGGAATAATTCCTGAGTCCAGGGAGTAAGACCGAAGCATCGCTGGGTGTGGCCCAAACACCAAAGGAGGGAAAAAGATGACAGAGGAAACAAATCACTATAAAAGGCAGTTATTTGACTTCTACAAACAAGAACACAGTGCCAGCAACTCAACTTGCTCCTCTGAAACAAGCTCGGCGTCCTGCTTCCAGGCCCCAAAGACAGAGGATGTGTCCATGGGGTATGGTGTCCTCTGCCGTGCTGGACCAAAACCAGGATAGAAGAGTCAGGTGTCTGCGGGGACTTTCATCACACCATTGTCAGAGTCACTCCCGGTAGGCTCGGGCCTTGGGGGGCCAGAGAGCATTCCCAGGCCCCTGCACATATAAGGTAAATGCTTCCACTTTAACTACACCCCAACCCTGATATTCCCATGAAGCAAGGTAAAATGTCTGAGGAGATGGGCTGGAGAGACAGGACGGGGTCAAGGCACCTACTTTGTACTTGGTCAGCAGGTTAGATTCCCTAAGCAACCCCTGGCAGTGATCCTTAAGCACAGATGAGTCCTGAGTACCATGGTGTGGCTCACAAACCAAGGCGGAGGAGAGGTCACCTCTGGGCATGTCCCCAGTGTGGGCACCAGGAAGTGGGGTGAGGACTCTCACGAGGTACCAGGCCCCCAGGCTCGGTTAACTCTCCCCTGAAAGAGGAGAAGCCCTCATCTCCAGGCTGGGCACACTGTGTGAGAAGGGCTGCACGGTCCAGGGCACAAATGTAAAGCAAACACTGGCTCTGTCCACTCATGCGGATTTTCCCAGAAACGAGGCAAGCCCAGCCCTTGGCCTCTAGTCCCACCTGTCCCTGTGGGCTGCAGTAGCCCCACACACAGCAGACTGGGCATGTGTGAAGGATGAATTCATGGAGGAACGAGGTGGCCCACAGCAATGACCTAGAAGCTGGACCATTCCACGCCCATCGCCACATCTGAACCAGTGTGGAGCTGGGCGCACTGGGCGAAGTCCCTCCGGGTTTTCAACATGACACCAGGAGAGTGGCACAGGAGCCCTGATGTGCACATATCCAGGAACAGCTGCCTGATGGCGGGGCTTGAGCTTAGGTGTGTGCCCAATGTCCCCGGGGCGGACCTGCCTTCCTGTATGTGAGAGCAGATGGAGTCTGTGTTGGAGGTGAGTCAGAAAGAAAGCAAATAAGGCCAAAGACCCCCAAATTTCAGTCTATACATATATGTCCTAAGGGCGTCTCCACGAAGTAAAACTAAGATTCTAAACTCTCATTCCTGGAATGAGGTGAGTCCAGAGGGGAGTAGCGGGAAGGGCCTGTGGCCTTCTGGCATTGCTGCGAAACATTCAGGCTGGCCGACAGGTCCCACGTGAGCTGCAGAGCCATGTAAAGAAGCATGAGTTTCCTGACATGAGCCCGGCCTCGGCTCCTTAATTCACACTCACATCTACCTGTTCCTTCTCCCCTGGACCCTTTGGCATTTGGCTCAAGTGAAATGGCCAACCCACCCCATCTGGGACTGCTCGGCAGCAATGGTCACCTGTCGTCTTTACAGAGCATGAAGGAAAAGCCAGTGAGTCTGAAAGGGTCCCGGAGCCTGGGAAGAGGTCACTCACCAGCTGAAATTCACTCCTGCGGCTGAAAGCTTCCCTGATGCCCGAGTCCCGCCAGAGTGCGCTCAAGGCAGGCACGTATAGCTGGAAGGTGGCCGGCTCCACGGGCAGGCCTGCTTTGTTCTCGAAGGCCATCAGGAACATCCCATGCTTCTCATTTTCAGAATACTGCCAAGGAATACCGAGCTTGTCACGTGCATCAACAAGAACCCTTGAGCCCTAGGAAACAAGAGATAAAAAAGTATTAATGGGGCTCTGAAGGCTGAGTCAGGAGTAAGGCCAGGGAAACAGCCGATCCTGCGGTGTGCCCCTCGGGCTCCGGCATGCTTGCTAGCAGCTTGGCCAGCATGGCTGGCCGTCTAACATGCACCTCAGACACGATGGCTCCGAACAGCTGCCCCTGTCCCACTTGTACTCAGGAAAGGCCTGCAGGGCCACCTTTGGATGCAGGAGGACGAGGTAACACATCCAGCAGAGCAGACTGGGAAGCACACTGGGCAGCAAGGGAAACTAGGCAGAAAGCCTTCTTCGGGTGGAGCCTGGCGGAACAGCATGGGGCTCAGAGTGACCCTGGCCCCACCTGCGCCGAGCACAACCTCAGCATCTCTGCTGACCCTAAACAGGTGAATGCCACGGATAGGTGGTGTGGCAGAGTAAGAACGCACCCCCAATCCCCCCAGCCTCCCAGGCTAGCACCAAGCCTGAGCCCTGAGTGCACTAGCTAGGGTCAGCAGTGATAGGGGCCGGGGGCGGGGGGAAGGGAGGCGTACAAATTCGGCAACCGGAGGACGAGTACAACCACAGCCTCAGTTCAGGAAACTGACAGCTCTCTCACCAAAACACAACAGCTGTTCCAACTGAGGGACAACACACGGACACACGGATCCAGATGGCGGCCGGAGTGGAATGGTCGCCCCTGGTGGGTGGGCCGGGTCAGCCTATACCCATTGTGTAGCTGAGGAGAAGTGATCTTGCATTCTTTGGCCTGTTTCCTCACTGTTAAAAATAAGGTCTGTGCACGTGCCCTGTTCTGCCTCCCAGACGGGCAACAGGAAGGAGCAGGGTCTGAGGAAATGGGAAGGATGCAGGAAGGTCAGCCTGGAAGCGCTGACTCAGCGTGGCCAGCACCTCTGCGCCATTTCCTCAGGGCCCACTGACCACCTGCCACAAGCACAGGGCAGAGCCCATCCCCACACAGACACACCACAGCTGCCCCAGCTCTGACCATTGCATGGCCACACTGCCTGCCTGTCCCCGAATACCAAACGGAATAGCTGCTCCTCGCCTCCAGCATTGCTTCCTAGGTACTAGCAGTGGACATGCAGAAGCTGGAGTTAAAAAGGCAATGGATCAGCAGACAGAGCAAAGGTGAACCAGAACCAGAGAGCTGCAGACAGCAGCAGAAGGAGGCCCCCATGTAGTCCCTGTCACTGCACAGTCCCCTGAGCACTCGACCAGCAGGAGCAACCTCTGTCACTGCATGGTCCCCTGGGCAACCCCAGAAGCAACCCCTGTCATTGCATGGTCCCCCGAGCACCCCCAGGTGCAACCCCTGTCACTGCATGGTCCCCTGGGCAACCCCAGGGGCAACTTCTGTCACTGTATGGTCCCCTGGGCAACCCCAGGAGCAACTCTTGAGCAGTGAGTCAGGTGTAGCCCTGAACATCAGTGGGTGTGTTCTAAAACACAAACCAAAACACACACAAAAAGGGAAAAAGGTCTAACTTTGAAAATATACACATAGGTACTGACTGAGAACTACAAAACATTGATGAAACAAAGCAAAGACGGTCTTACCAGTGGAGAGATTTACTCTGCGCATGGAATGAGACAGACAATTCAGAAAGGAGATGACATTTCTCCACACCGTTAAACAGACCTAACTGTTCTCTAACATGGTTTCTACAGAATCTAGACAAGATCTGGAGTGACTACAAACCACCCGCATGGCTCAGCTTGGGGTCCAGCGATGGGTACCATGCTGGCCCTGTGTCTAACACCCGCGAAGTGACTGGAGCACCTCAGTCGACAGCCAAACTCGCAGTTGGGTGGATTCCAGCAGCGCTGTGCTACCTGCACCGGATCAAAGGCTGGTGCCTGGTTTGCCGGGTCACAGACCACTGCTAAGGCTGTCTGCACACAGAGAAAATCACAAGTGACACTGTTCTAGGGCTTCCCTGCACAAACACAGACCGAGTTCTAAACTTAATATGAACAAAACTCAAGAGCAGCTAAGGAAAGTTACGTGGAGTAGGGACACAACATGATTTCAGACTAGCTGTGAGAATGAAGACAGCGCTGGGGAAGGACCAAACACTGAGCAAGAGGTGATGTGAAGTGGCTGGAGATATCTCTACTCAACACGGAATGTGAAGCACACAGTGGGTAGGGTACTGGCCTCGCATGCAGCTGACCCAGGTCCAATTCCTGCCACCACAGATGGAACCCCAAGTCCTACCAGGTACGATCCCTGAGTACTGCCAGGTGTGGAACCCCACCCTAAAATCTGGAGTTTTGTAACGATCCAGAAGTGATACGGTGGGGTTGGGGGTGTGTGTGCTGCTGTGGCAGAACAGTCTCAGGAGCTAGAGCAACTGGACAGCCACAGGCCCTGTGAAAAAAATAAAGGACCTTTCCCTTACACAGATTCAAAAGATAAAACCAGGCCCAGGAGAATGCCTCAGGCCCTCTGTAGAGGTGTAGTTCCCAGACACGTGGGAGGTGAACACAATGCTTAAATGAAAGGTATCAGTTATTCAGATGTTACCAAAAACAAAACAAAATAAAATCTACTTGTTCTGCAAAGACCCCTTTAAAGAGGCTAAAAAGACACGCTATGAACTGGGAGAAAGACAATTTGCCTACTGCAAACCCGATGAGAGACTTCTATTCAGAGTATTTAAAAGCTGCACTCAAGGAAGCTAGACCATGAAGGAAAAATTGGCCGAGGCTGGGAAGAGCTGTTTCTAAACCCAGCAAGCACATCAGAGAACAGAGAAGCAGGGAGACAAAGTGGCTCAAGCAGCTCCCTAGGAAATGGAGAGAGGACAAAGCCAGGAGAAACAGCAGGGCCGAACCACAAGGTGGTAAGGGGGTTAAATGGTTGAGGGTGGGCCACTCGGGACCCCAATAGGCCCATTTTTTAAAGACTGAACATATAAGCGGCTATTCGAGCAAGTGGTGCTACCTCTGTCCTGTGCTTTCGTCTGAGAGAAATGAAGATGCTCATGGCATTACAACAGCCTAACCTAGAACCAGTCCACACATCCTTCCTTCCACAGACCTGTCACTGCGTGGTCAATCTGTGGGTATCAGGCCGTGGGCCCTATCTCAGCAATAAAAAGGGACAAATACCACCTTGGAAGATGCACACAAGATTTGATTCAGCTGCTAGAATATTCATGCAAGGACAGAGAGAGGGAGCTGAGGGCATCTGAGGCTGTGGGGGTTGGGGCGGGGTGAGGGAGGGGCAGGAATACCTTGGGCAGCAGGAGGTCAATACGACTGCCAACAGCACCTCACAAGCGTGGGGGGGCGGGTGTCAGTTTGGCATCAGGCCCCGGCTGCAGGTGCTGCTGGGCTCACACGTGGCTCACACCAGCCAAGCCTGGCTCTCACCCGAGCCATTGTTCCAGCACCTTCTGGCCAGGAAGGAGCCAGACTTTCCATGGCAGAACCCAAAGCACTGCGCCCACCAGGCCTTCCCGGGGCCCCCAGCACTGCGCCCACCAGGCCGTCCCTAGTAATTAGGCTACAGGTAGATCTGGCCCATTGAAAAGCAGCCGGTGTTCGCAGCTCATGCTGCCAGCATGCAAGTGTGGAGGTCCCACTCACTTCTCCAGACCAAGGAGGTCCTCCTACTCCTCTTCCCCGGAGCCAAACATTGCCTGCCCTCTTCAGCTTCTCTCATGCAACTGGAAGCTCCTGCCTGCGTGTCTCCCTTGCCTCTCATGAGACTCACGAGGTCAAGAATGGGAACAGCTGCATCTCCATAAATTCTGCGGGCACCCTCGACCATGACTGAGACCAAGGGCGGAAGGGTGGTCTCACAGGATTTTGCTCAGAATGGTGGTCCACTTCAGTCCTTCCCTGCACTAGCCTAAGATAGGTAAGCCAGGGCCTTGATTGTACTTGTGCAGGACAGACAGTGGATGCACCTTTCCTTCCAAAGATGCCTGACCTCACACTGTGACAAGCTCCATTACCGAAAACCCCTTTCCCCTTTCCCAAGCTCCAAAAAAACAAAAAACCAAGAAGATCCTGAAATCTATATACACTGGAAAAGAGACAATTTGCTACTTTCACTAATGGCTGCAAGAAACATAAAATCAGTTTCCTTGACTAAACCACTCATCCTGGAATCCACATCCACTCAAAAAGAAAAAAAGAGACAATTTGCTTGTTTCAATAATGGCTAAAGAAAAGTAGCATGACTTTCAGTAACAATTAACTAAAGCATTTTTTTTCCTTAACCAATACATTTTATTCAGCTACCCAAATAAAAAGTTAAAGTCTTATGCTGTTTGATGACTTCATCTCAAGACTATGAAGCACTTTAAACTTGTTCAAAGAGCACATTTTAAAGACAACTTATAAATCCAGCAATTTAAACTTCTGTCAAGAATAAATTCCCAGTCTGCTGAGGATACAGATGGGCCGGAGTCAGAGGGGTGGTTTGGTTTTGCTGGATGAAAACCAGCGCACACACACAAAAGTAAGTTCTGTGATCTGATTTCAAAATGGATTTTTTTCCACTTAGCCCAAACTGAACCAAATCTTTTTACATTAGTCACAATACCTCTGAAAGCTGAGAAAGGCACAGAATGCTGTAGGTGGAAGGAGCTTTTTCTAGAAGAAAGTCACCTGACACAAATTCCGGAAGTGGGAAGCAGCAAACACACCAGCGGAGCGTCTGCCGCTGTCAACCAAGCACAGACTGGTTGCAGGATCTGCCAGGGCAGAACGAGGCCAGTGGGCAGCTAAGGAGCCTCACGGCTTCTCTCATGGGCCGAGGGAGAGGAGGCCTTGGAAAGAGGAGAGAGGGACAAGGGAGAGGGTCAGCGGGTGCGGGGAGACACACCACAGCCAGCACTGTCCAACCACGTGCCCTCCAAGTTCATCCTCCTCACCCCCCACCCTGGCGCCTGCCAGGATCTCTAGGAAACAAACTCCCGGTTTGTTCAGGCTGCTGCTCCCCACGCCCTGCTCGAGGAAAGCCC